ACAGAGGATGGAGAGGGGAAGATCAGCCCATAATGGACTAAGTTGAGGGCAGTATGGCTCGTGACCACCCAGCAGCCCTCCCCTATAGTTGTCTGCACTGACAACTGGGCTGTCTATCAGGGTTTGACCCTGTGGCTTCCAACATGGTACCATGTCAACTGGATGGTTGTTCTCCATCCCCTTTGGGGGCAAACGTTGTGGCAAGACCTATGGGCCTCTGGTCAGACTAAGACTGTTACCATATATCATGTGACTTTGGCATCCCCAGGGAATGATGAAGCAGACATCATTCCCTAGAAAGAAAGCCTGCATCCTATGTAGCCCAATGGTTACATCAGCATTTGTTGCATGCAGGGCAAAAGACAATGTGGGCTGTAGCCCGTTGGTGGGTTTGCCATTGACCTTTGAGGAAGTCAGCAGAGCCCAGAAGAAGTGCCTTGTGTGCTCTAAGAGGGACTTACACCGAGTCCTGCAGCAACATGGGACAATATTAAGGGGGCCAATACCCCTTGTCAGGTAGCAGATAAACTAGATTGGGCTCTGCCCATATCAGAAAGATATCGGTATGCCATGACTTCTGTGGACACAGATACTGGACTATATTGGTTGCTTTTCCTGCACATCATGTAGATCATCAAACTACCAAGAGGGGCCTAGAGCATCTCTTTGCAGCCTATGGCTGGCTGCAGGTGACTGAGAACGATCAAGGTACCCACTTATTGGACATGTGTTACAAGAATGGATGCAGCAACTAGGAATAAAGTACAAGTTTCATGTACCATATAACCCTACCAGGGCAGGCATGATAGAGTTACAATTGTTTGTTGAAACCGGCCTGACATCAGACATCAATAGCCTTCAGGGCTGGTCAGTTCAGTTCACTTATGGACAGTGAGTGCTATGGTGTTTGAATGAGAAGCCCCAAAAAGGAGCCTTGAGCTCTATGGATATGCTGACACACATTGTTGCCTCTCCTATACAACTGTATGTGTAAACCAAAGAGGAGTTATTGAAGCCAGGATATGGCCAGCAGAGTAACATCCTGCTGCCAGCCCCAATTGCATTAAACCCTGGAGACACTGTTAAAGTGACATGGCCCTGGACATTTCAACACATGTACCAGTGATGGCTGGCCCTTTTGGCACCTCAGGGAAAAGGCCTGGAAGCTGGCCTCCTGTGTGTTCCTGGAGTAACAGCAGAGTGTCCCCCAAAGATCATGGTAGTGTACCCAAAATGTCTGGGAGGTAAGACCATCTTATCTGGGCAGTTCTGTTTTATCTTTATGGCCAGTGCATGTACCTCTTATAGCCCTATATATTGACCACAGGGAAGGGTGTGAAAGTCTGGTGTACTAGACTAGGATGAGATCCCATTCCTGCCACTGTCCTGTCACAGGACCACTCTCTTGCATGTATCCTACCTGATGGGCAAGATTTCCCTATGCTGGTGTCATTAAAACATGTATCTTATCACCCTTAAGGTTATTTTCTTCTACAGTCCCTATGTCCTGGATGCGCCCCCTGGCTGCAGCTGCCACATGATGATTGCTCTGAACTCCCTACCTGTTCAGCTACTGACTGTGGAATGGGCAATCTATGGACTTAATCTGCATAGGATTTTGAACCTAGCTGAATCCTCTGGTTTGAGGATTATCATGATTTTATGTTATTAGTCTGGTTACAGTGTACCAGTTTTCTCACACAAGGGCCATTGCAGAAGATTGGGAAGATGTAGATTGTGAGGTGAGATTTCTGGAGGGGTGGCCTGTCAGTAAAATTATAATATTTACAGAATATCTTGCCTGGCTTTAGTGCATCTCCATATCTATAGGTATTTCCAAGGGGTGGAGAGGAGTGCATCTCCATATCGGTAGGTAATTACATGGGCGAGGGAGCGCTTACCTAGACTGTAGAGATTGGGTGGAGGCCTCTCTTCTTCTGTAGCCAGGGTGGGAGAGACGAGGGATGACTGCTTGTGAGAAATAAATGGGTTCCTCTCACCTTATTTCTTCCTTTGACTGATTTCGGTTTCAAAGGTATTTTGCCCTGGGATTCCCCCCTGGAGTTACATTCCCTGGAGTTACACCTGGCCTCTGGGCTTTAGAGTGCTCCTAACTGGCCCCTTCCTATGATGCCTCTCCTCACAGGAATCTGTAAGGCAAAGAGCATATGCTTCCCCAAAACTCTCCCCACTAGCACCCCTACCCTATTAAGATATTGTGTTAGTTTCCTTTTGCTACTGTAAAAATTATCACAAACTCAGTAACTGAACTTCACATCAAGATGACACTAACTCTTCTGGCCTCCTGACTCTCTCTTAAAAGGACCTTTGTGATCCCTGGGCATACCCAGATAATCCAGGATAATATCCCTATTTTAAAATCCACTCATTAGTAGCCTTAATTCTATTTGCAAGCTTAACTCCCTTTCGCTATATAAGGTAAACATATTCATTAGGTTCCAGGAATTAGATTATGACATCTTTGGGGGCTTGGGAGGCATTATTCTGCCTCAAACAACCATGTATCTGTAATTAATACCTGGGAAATCCCTCCATGGATGACCCAAACTGACTTCCTCAGAACGATGATGCCTACAGCAGGCTGCATTATCAGAGGGGTACAGCAGAGGTCAGATCACATTTTCTGACCTGGGTGATGAAATAGGCCTATTTCCAACCCCATCACCCCCACCCTCTTTTCTGAAATCCTAGTTGACTCAAAGGATGATCTGATCCCAAACCTCTTCTTTCATGAGTGGATGCAGGCATGCATGTGTGTATATACATAAATGAATATGTACAAATAGGAACAAGTATACAAACATACACATAATGTATGCATGCATGTAAATATGCATATGTGTTTGTCGACATATCCTTATCATGACAGAGAGAACTGAACCAAGAGTCAAGAGACTGGGCACTTTGGTTTTGGTTCTGCCTCCAGTTCCCTGTAAGCCTTTAATCAGATCACATGCTTGCTTATCTTTGATGATGTTTTAGACCAGATGACCTTTTTTGATTCTTTTCCACTCTAAAATCCTAAGCATCTTCCTTAGGGAAATCAGGTGCCTTTGCTGTCCTACCAGAACTCTAACAGCTTTTCCTTAAGAGAATTGATTATACTTTTCATTAATGAGCAAACAAAGACCCCAGCCTTTGACTGGAGCCTTATATTTCTCCCTCTACTCTGTCTATTCTTCTTCTAGATTCTAATTCTGGGCAGAATTTATCTTTATTCTCTCATTTTCTTCTATCAGTACAATATAGAAATGAAGGGAGGTATCAAAAGGAAGATACTGTATTGTAAGATTTTGCTAAGAATCTCCATATTTTTGAGTACATGACATTAGTATCCAAGAACTACATCTTTGTCATCAGTAAATATTTGCATCATACTAAAGGCCATGTGAGGCACAAGGAAGGTGTAGAAATTGGGGGTGTGGGCAAGTCTCTGCAATAATCTGGTGAACAAGATAGATTTTGAACATGTAATTGTACAAAAAAATCAGCTACAAATATATTAATTTATTTGAAGATTACGTTGGAAGTGTTAAGTGTTTAAAACAGGAGGTATGATGTGAAGGAAAGGCTGTCCTTGCAAATTAGCTTTGCAGCCTAATTCAGTCACTTTACACTCCAGGCCCTAAATTTTCTCATATCACAAGCATCTTTTCAGTATATTAGTACTGTGTATTTGCATTAGTCCACTAGGACTGCCATAACAAAATGCCACAGATGTGGTAGCTTAAACAACAGAAATTTATTTTCTCAGTTTTGAAGGCTACAAGTCCAAGGTCAAGGTGCCTTCAAGTTTAGTTTCTGGTGAGACCTTCTTTTCCTGGCTTGCAACTGCCCCTTCTCACTGGGTGTCCCGAGGCCTTTTCTTTGTGCATTGCAGAGATCTCTGGCATCTCTTCTTATAAGGACTCCAGTTCTAGATTAAGGCCCCACCTTTAACACCTCGTTGAACCTTAATTACCTCCTGATAGGTCCTGTCTCCAAATACAGTCCCACTGGGAGTCAGGCTTCAACATATGAATTTTGGGGAGGCACCGTTCAGCCCATTACAGCACCAGTATATTTGACGTCCAAATTGACATTTCCACTGACAAAGTAGTCTCTGGGCAAACAAAAGAAATGTTCTGTGTCATAAAAGAGGATACCTATATCTAAGGAGAGAGATGTAGTTGTTAAAGGTCAGAGAATTTGCTTAATTATAAAATAAGCAAAGTAATTCTTTTCTACTTTACCGGATAATATTGAAAGACAATTACATTCCTACAAAAATTTTTTTGTTTCCATTTTGGAGAGAGTTATAAGCCACATGGCACGTAGATAAGCCTTTACATAGTAGCTGAATAATTTAATCAATTGCTATTTTCTATTGCTGTACGGAAAACAGCCTGGAAAAGCCAAAAAAGGTTGTGTTCCACAGTAATGTCATACCATGAAGGTGTAAACTTGAAGCGGAGATTGCTTGCAGAAAACTTGCATTCTTGGCATGTGCGCACTTGCAATAAAGTTAACTTTCACTTATGGTCATATTTAATGTAGGAGCCAGTTTATCTTACGCCTGTTCTGTTGTACTTCTTTGTGCACTTGGCCTTCGTTTAGTCCTGGCCTCTGTGTTGGTGTTACCTGTAAGAGCTCCTTGGGGTTGGGAAGGTGACAGAGATAGGGTGGGAAACCGCGGATCTTTGAGGGCGCGGAGTCTCTCGCATACCATTCCCCTCCCACTACTGCTGGGAGGCGGAGAGGCCTTCTAACTTCGCTCCAATCCGCTGTCGGCCCTCCCCGGGGTCCCCCTGCTGGGCGACCCCGCCCACTGCGGTCCGAGTTGGAGAAACTTTGCAGGGCACCGCGCAGAGCCCGGGGAGGCGAAGGGCTCCCCCTCCTGCCAGCGCCTCCCCCCCCTGCCCCCGCCCCGGTCCTCGCCCAGGCGCGAGCGCTCGTGATAGGACGAGCCCCGGCGTGCATCGTGTATATGCAAACCAGAGCCGCGGCTCCCCAGGGCTGCCGACCCGGGCGGAGGCTGCGGCTGCGGCTGGCCCTGCGCGGGGCGCCGCTGCCCTCGGCGGAGCCGGGCGCTGTCATGCGGCCGCGGCGCGGGCCGCTGCCTCCCCGAGACGCCGTGTAGGCGCGGGAAGGGGACACCGGAGGGCTGAAGATGAAGGTGCCCGTGCCCGGGCCCCCACTGATTGCCAGCCCCTCCCGAGCCCGCGCCCCGCGCCGAGCGGGCGGCCGCGGAGGACCCGCCTTCGCCGCAGTAGCAGCTGGAGCAGCGACAGAAGCGGCGTCGGCGGCGCCCGTCGCCCGAGCGTGCGGAGCGGCGGCGGCAGCTCTGGGGCCGCCGCTGCCCCGGCTGCCATGAGTTGTGCGGAGGTGATGTATCACCCCCAGCCGTATGGAGCGCCCCAGTATCTGCCCAACCCCGTGGCAGCTGCAGCCTGCCCTACAGCCTGCTACCACCCGGTGCCCCAACCTGGCCAACAGGTGAGTCACCAGCCGGGCAGCCTGCTGGGGGCGGGGGCGGGGCCGGGCCCCGAGTATCGGTCTGGGGCCGGCGACGTCCCGCAGGGACGCGGGCTGAGGAGGATGCTCTGGGACCTGCGGGAGCGGCCCTGAGCCGAAAGCCTCGGAAGAGCGGAGCAGAGGCTTCGGGAAGGGAGAGCAGCCAGGGACGGGTGGGGATTGGACGTGAACATTACCTGGCCGGGGACTCCATGGACTTGTCACTGAAGCTCAGAGGCTGCTCCTCATTGCCACCTTAGCTCTTAGGGTTCAGTTCTCAGAAACTCTTCAAGGGCATCTGTCCTAGGAGTATGTGAGTAACTTCTTTTAAACCAAATACTTTGTTTTCTGTGGAAAGGTATAGCGTTTTACCTTAAAAGGTTTTCTTGATTTAGAGAATGAAATGTGGTCACTTACATACTGGAGGCTATCTGGACAGTGAGCTCATGGAATTACCTCTCTGGGACTTTTATGGTGGAACACGGGTCGAGTGTAACGTCTACCAAGTGTTACTAGAACTTCTCTGTAGAGTCTGCCTTCTCAGGAACTGTGACTCTGAAGACAGAGATTGATCTCAGAGTTCCACATTCATTTTTAATCCCATCGAAGCACAAGAGTGCTATAGTTGAGTCTGTTGGCAGTGTGTCCCCCACTGAGAAGCGACCTTGGACCATGGGATGCCAGGTCTCCATCGTGCCCAGAGTTATCAAGAATGCTGTGGATAAAAGGGCTCAGGAAACAGGGAGATGATATGGTTCCTTTGGAAGCAAGAGTAGGGCTCCAGGGAACTTGGCAAGAGCAACCCCTGGACAGCCCTCTCTGGGCACCAACAGTGTGTCAAGGCTTAGCTAGGGCTACATAAAAAAAAGAAAAGTATGTGTACCGGGTTGTACCAAAATAGGGTCCTCAGACTCTGGAAACTAGGTGAGTTGATGTGGTGAGACTTAAAAAGTACAATTTATACACTGAGGTGGAGACATATCTGGGAACTAGATAGCGTTCAGAAATTACCATCCACAGAATTTGATTGATTTTTATAGTTTCTTAGGAACCATATGTTTTATTGTGTTCTTAAGGGTTTGGTTCTTTAATTAATGTGGCCTTTAATTTCTGTATTTCCTTAACCTCTGTCTCATTGCTAGGTTTATAGTGCTTCTCTTTGGAAAGAAATCATAACTTCTGTTTAGAATTTAGGGGCTATTAAATTCATCTGATTTTGGAAGGGTATATGCCCCAGATTTATCTGTTAAACAGTATAAGCTGAGCCAGGACCAACTAGAGCAAAAGAGGAAGGAGCCCCACATTCCTGTTATAATTTTTTTTTTTTTTAATATTCAGCAGCTTCAACATTCAAAGCAAGATTACTTTTAGTGAGAGGAATCAGAAGCATTTTTCAGTTTGTGGTCAAGGGTGATGGATTAAAACATTTTGTTTATGTTGCTTGGTATTTTTTTCTGGCTTTAAATATAAAAGATGTAGGCAATGGAGATAGCTGTTCAGGTATGTCAGAGAAGTGAGCAAAGAGATGCTGGATATCAGTTTTATGTGTTTTGTGAACACTATGTCCCAGGTGAACCACCCTTTTTCCTCCTTGCCTTTCCTCCATCTCAGAGACTGTACAGACCTTCAATTAGCAGTTGGAATGTGGGCCAGCAACAGACTCAAACTTACTAAATATACAGAAAGGTATTTTTCCCCTTAAAAAATAACTTGGACTAGTAGAAGCTGTGAATCAGGTTTTATTTTCTAGAGTTGTGAAAATAATTCCATTAATATATGAAACTGTGGTGGGGGTTAGAATTGGCTTTTTGAACTAGAAAACAAAATTCAGTATCAGAAAAATGACAAATTATGGATCCTAAAATTTAGTTTTCAATACGTAATAATTCTAGTACTTCATCTGACTTTTGCAATAGCTGTGCAACTCAGTCTCCAAATTCCATTCTTTTTCAAAACTGAAGAATGAGCTTTCTTTTTCACCTGAATTGTCCACATTGATGAGTTGCATGTATTAGTAAATAATGGTGAACTTCTACTATATTTTGGGCTTCTGATGTATTATTCAAGTAGACGTCAGGCTGAGTTGGCTTTAGGAACCTAGCTGAAAGGTGTGCTTGGCAATTGTCATGTTACTTTTACTCAAGCTCCAGATTACTTTTTTTGCCAAGTAAACTGACTGCAACTGGCTAGTGAAATAAAAAAGACATTTGATAGTGTGATTACTGTTCTCTTACTGTCAGGAGTTTATTTTGATGACCTATATTTTCTATTGGAAAAAGGGGTAAATCAGGAAATTCTTATCAGGCTGACAGCATTTTCAGACTATGTGGTGCGTGGGTGAAGTGGGATTAATATTGACTTGGCCCTAATGCAGTCATCCGAGAATACATATTTTGGTTGTTTTTGCATTCCATAAGGTTTTATCATTATTATCCATGAAGATTTTTTCCTCCGTACATGGGAAGTGACCCCCAATAGCATCTTGCCTGAGAGATAAAAATAAGGGCTACAACTCCTACTGCATTTGAAAAACTAATTTTTTGAGAAGAAAAAAGGAAAAGAAGCAGAAAAAGTGATAGAGTTATAAAGAAAGTTTTATGGTTATTTATAAAGTACTAGAAAAGAGATCAGTCAGGTTTGATATTCTTTATTCAATTATAGTAGTGTGTCTTTGCACTTATTTATTTTTTTTCTCAAATCTGTATAGTTCTGAAGTCATTAATTAGTAAAAATGGTTGGTAATGATGGCTTTTAAACATAGGTATGTTTTTCCTCTTAAATATCATCATTTGGATGAAAATTCTTTTTGAAATAACAGAATTTCATACTCCAGGTATATGTACTCTCATCTTTTCCCTTAGAAGCACAAATATACACTTGGAATTTTAAGTTTAGTGTTTTATTGAACATATTACACATTGTAGGTGGGTAGGTTAGTGTCTTAAAAACGTAGTTAACTGCATACATATCAGGCTGCACTGTGATGTGTTACTTAGGCTTACAGTAGGCTAAATGAATTCAAGTAATCTGTAAATATGTCTGAAAAGTAAATTTTATACTTCCTGATATGAATTTCTAGAAATTACAGGGCTGGAATAAACCTTATGGTGTGCTTTCTAGGACCAGAATTTGCTGAGGGATGCTAAGCCCCCCGTCCCCATGCTTGCCGCCTTGGTCTAGCCTTAACACCATCAAGTCCCTAATACTTCCTCTGGAGCACTCCTGACTCAGTGTCTCAGCACATGCTCTGAAGGCATGATGATACCACAGAACATGTGCAGAAAGGAATACACTTATTTTCTAACAGTAGGAACCAAAAAAAAAAATCAAAATATGTATCAGAAAATTGAGGGAAATAATATGATATCATTGATTCTCTTCATACCCAGTGGCCTTCTCATTTTAACTGCAGGCAGTCTGTTGTCAAAATCCCCCCTGCCTCCCCCACTATATTCATAATGTTAACATTAGAAAGATATTTAAAGCAAAGATTTCTGAATTGCGTAGTTTATAAATGAAGTGGTAAAAGCAGAAAAGAACAATTACCAGCTTTCTAATAGTGCATAAAGGTTTTTAATAAGCACACTTTGGGCTTCATGGAAGTTTAGCATATTTACTCTGTTCTCTTCAAGGTGACAGCTGGGAGAATCTGCATGCATGCTTTCATTTGAAAGAACTTAGTGCCCTTGGGAGTCAGAACTCCAGTTATGAGTTTGTGAGGAGTTTTTTTTTTTTTTAGCTCTTTCTTTGGTCTCTTCCACCTTGGTTAGGTTCTAATACCTCTCTGAGATTCTGTTTGTCAGGAATAAAATTCTGGAAGAACATACATCAACACCTCCTTTTGCAAATGGGGAAATGGATGTACATAGGGCTGAAGATTTCAAAGCTAACTGGTGACAAAATTAGGATGACCACATCCCTGCCTCCCAATGTAGCATCTTTCCACCATACCATTCAGTCTCTGAAGCATTTTTCCATTGCACAATAAGCTTATTTTTGTCTTTAGTGCTCCAAATCAACTTTTTGATAAAGAAGATTAATATGCAACAGATTCTTTGGCCTTGGAGCTTGAAATTCTTTCCAAGTCCTTGGTAATGTACTTTTTTAGTTTAGGCATTCCAAAGTCCTTTTGCTAGCATTTTTGTTGTGCTAATGACTTTTGCTATCCATTCTGCATCCTTTGTTGATGAGGCAAAATATCCACCAAATGAACATTTACTTATTTTAAAATAATATGCAGGAAGTCATATTAACAGACAGCTTTAAGTGCCTCATATATCATTGCTATTCCAACATAAGTTTAGATCCATTATCAGGAAAGAATACAATTATATCCCAAATAGTTTCAATACACAGTTGACTTCCTTAAGGCAGAGGATCTAATTTTCTTGCAACTGTAAGCAGGGACTTAAGTAGATTTATAAGAGTTCATACAAGACTACTTTGAGAAAGAGCAGTCCCTATAATTCCACACTATACAAATTAACTTGACTGCAGACACTTAGAAGCTTAATGCCCCACAGTTTTATGCTCCCAATAACTTTCCAGCTAGAAAATTCAAAGCTAGAGAAAAAAATTAAACTTTAAAATAACTAAATTGAACTGTTGTTTCTGGCAGTTAACCAGAATGGAGATTACAATAATGATAGTAAGGGCAGGCTGGAAATGCATCAAATCAAGCAAAGTGGGATATGTTCACCAGAAAACCAAATGCCAGGACAGTGTGACACTCGGGAAATTTAAGTGAAGTGTATTTTGGATAAATGCAAGGAAGTCCTACTTCAACTAGCCCTCAGTAAAGTCTCACATCTCCCAAAGTTGGTGATGTGACCCATACCAAAGGAAGGGAGAATGTTCAGAGGGTAATACCTTGCCATCCTGGTCGGTGACTCTGGGCTATTTCAGACAAGATGTAGAGCTGATCCCATTGGGCAGCATGTATAATAATTATGTCCCATATACCTCTGTGCAAAGGGAATTTT